CAAAATTTTCAAGAGAAAATACCCTCCTGGTTACAAAGCGAGCACTCTTCCCAATTGAGCTATACACACCAGTGTCGGGGTGATCATTGCTTGAGGAATATCTGATGGAAGATGTACTCCTTGTCCACAGGTGAGGCCATGAGGAGGACAGGTGTACACATCAGCCAGGTGTACTCCTCCCCATCCCTCAGGTGTGTGCAGACAGCTGATGCCATACTGGATGGTAGGTGCTCAAAGACATGTTCTGTCCTCTTTGAATATATCTACCACAGTCAAACTTGCTCAAGCGACCACCGATATAAGCCATTTATAGCAACTGCCTTTTCTCAGTCCTGATTTTTTTGGGCCCCCTGGTGGCTTGTTTCGGTACTAGAGCTGTGTACGAGTATGTGTGTACCAGTTCTGTTCAATTGATTAGGTACAGGTCCAAAATACCTAATCCCTCAGTACCGGTACTGTACCTAAATAATTTCACACTAAGGCCACACCAATATAATTTCTTGGTTAACGGATTTTTATAGACTGAGAAATAATGGAGCGGGCGGGCGAAAAAAAAAAAAAACAGGCCTAGGCATCCTATTATGGCCCAAAATGGTACGATAGGACCCATGAAGTCAACACACCAGACTGGTTCAAAATGTAGACAATGAATTTTAAACTTTTAATGATACCACTGCATGGAAAGATAGAATAACAGTACTACTAGGATGAAAAGGACTGTTTTCAACTGTTCAGGGCAAAATATTGAGCATTTTGCAGTTCAGAAATCAGAAAAAAAATGAAGCGGGCGAATCCATTAACCAAGAAATTAAATTGGTATGGCCTAATTACATGCCTATCTAAAATGTGTAAATAGCTGGTCCCCCATGGGTCCCAAACTAAGGACAGCCAGTTCGTGTTACAGACTGACAGTGTTAACTACCCTGAAATATCTGTTGCATATTAGATATGCTCCCTTGGTTATTGTTCAGGTACAGTTTCAGGTCTGGACCTGGACCTAAACCTGTGTACTTGTACCTGTACCTATAATTGTATTGGTGCACAGCTCTATTTGGTACTGGAACTTGCAGTTTTGATACCCTAGCACCTTGTTAGGGAACTACAGGGGCTCTTGTTTGAAAATGACTAAAAGTACACATACATGTAGGGTTACTCAAGAACAGCTAGGCTGACGTATTGTCAGGGAATATGAACGACTGAAACAGACTGATGTAATTCATGCAAAAATGATGATCTTATTTGCATAATCATTGAGACTATGAAACCTTTCTAATTCGTCAATCATAAATTTTAAAAGTTATTTGGCAAATTAGGAATGAGATTGTGAAACTCTAGTTGCTAATAGTATGTTCATTTTCCTCCCCATCTCAGCTCTAGGGCTCAGGCCATCCATGAAGATCCGAGTCGAGCCCGGTCTGTTTGAGTGGCTCCACTTCTACAAAACCAGCGGGCTTCCAAAGTTTATGACCATGAAGGAGTTTGTAGACTTTGGTCTGAACGTTGATCCCGCCTACCACCCCACTGTTAAAGTGTCCGACTGGTCTTGGACCGAAGGTATCGAGCAGTACTACAAGCGAAACCACTCTGTTGTCCAGTCGATCCTGGGATCAACAGGTAAGCTTCTTTAGATTTTTTTTGGGGTTAAGGCCACACCAATTTAAATAATTGGTTCTTGGATTCTCCCACTTTTTCTGATGTGCACCAAAAGAAAAAGATTCAGGTTATGAGTCAACTCTAGATGCTCAATGTTTTTGCCCAAACAGTTGACAAAAGCTCCTTGCCTTACTAGTTGTTGCAGGCTTTCCATCTATAAATTAATGCATTGGTTTGATAAAAGTTTAAAATTTATTATTTGAATTATAAACCAGCCTGGTATGTTGACAACTCCTGCCGTAGCTTTTAGTCTCAGCTATCAGAGGAAGTCTTGTGTTTGTTTGTTTTTTGCCCTGTTGCTTCATACTTTTTCAAAAATCATCTGAGAACCAACAAATCAAATTGGTGTGACCAACCATGGTCCAATTCTTAATGGAATATACAAGCAGTTTGCTGAACAGTTGTTAAAAGTAGAAAGGAGGTTTCCTCTGTACCCGTAATTTTTTAAAAAGCTCACAGTTTAAACAATTCTGTACTGATGGGGTATATGTAGTCCTGACCGAGTCTATAGTTCAGTAAATTAAAAATAATTGCTGTGGGAATGTGCATGGCTGTCTGCATGGAATGAGGACAACTAGATAATTATGGACTAAGCTTTCATGTACATTGTAAATAACTGCAAAAACCAAAGTTGGATTTTCACACTGAAGTATGTGACAAAGCTTTTAAGCAAAAGCAGAAAACGATTGAAAAATTGGTACATGTTTGACGCCTGTTTTGCAGATTTACGAGGGAACTTACTTACTTGAAACTTTGTTATGTACTTCTGGACCTCAATTTGTGTTGGAATGATCTTGCAGAATGCTACCATGATCAAACAAAATTAATGTCTGTACAGCTTTGATCACATCTTTTAGGCTGTTAGAGGATTAACTTGTAGACTTGCTTTTCATGGTTTCACAGTAAAAATGTACAATCCACATTTGTACATTGTAATTTTAGGTATGTGCATTTATGTTGCAGAATTTGGATACCCCTAAGTATTATATGTTGGAAATGCAGTGAAAAATGAGAACAAGAAGCCATAGGCGACAATTCTCCGTGAAGTATTATATATTGCAACAAAAAGAAGTAGCCATTGGCGACAATTCTCTGTGAAGTGTGATAAATCGAACAAAGAAAAATTGTTTAAACGCGCGTCGGCTCAGTCATCTTAAGTCGCAACAACCAATCAGAGATGCGAAATGCCGACGCGTGACGCGGGATTTTCATACAGTCTAAACAACGGGGAAGGGCGCGCGATGCCCGAAATATTTTTGCGTCAATATTCAGCGCCGTGTTTCAAGAGATTAATACCGGGAAACAAATTCTTTTCTTGTTTTGAACGCATAAACATGCATTTACGCTAATCTAGTATGATTCAGGGTTACTTTTTTTTACCTGCCATGGCCAGATTATCTGAAGATGTGTGTATTGTGTGTACAATCTACAGAAAGAGAAATGTACATCAGGTCCGATCATCCGATTTTCACGTTTCGGTTTTTTGGACTCGGTTCATGAACGTATTTTGGTTTGGCTCCTGGAATGTGCGAACAAAATTACTCCCGGGACTGTCTACAGGGAACACTCGCACATTCGCGGTGTATCAGGACGGCGCGACTGGTCGGCATTAGCGCAGTCCCTGCAATTAGTAACAGTTGCACATCAATCCAGCCGAAAGCATGATTGTGTAACACAGGCTACTTCTTCATATACCGGCTCATACTACACGACGCCTTTACAACTAGCAAATCATAAAATTACCCGATCTACTAGTACTGTATGTGCGGTTTACCAGCCCCAGACCACATCCGACCACGAGGCAGAACACATTGATGGGTTGCTCAAAAATATTGTCCATGTCCACAAAGAGCTGCTCCACTAACACTATGGAGCGGCCCAACCCAAAAATATTGGCCATGTGTCGTTGCTAGGACGACCGGCCAGTTGCTACGTGACTAAATACACGCCGCCACTAGGTCGCCACACCCGACCAGTTTGAAATCGATAGGATTACGTTATTGGTATTAACATTTCCTAATGTTGACCTCTGACCACCCCACATTTCCGTCGTCCCCATCAGCCCCGCCGCGACTTACTACCGGTGACATAAACGGACGACAACTATTACAACGACATGGGGATGTTTACGAAAATAACCTATTTACTCCAATATACAAAACAGCTACGGTAAAAATAAAAAGACGTGCATCATCCCGGACATAATGCCACACCACATGCGAAATTACACAAAAATGCGACGTACCGAAGAATGCGTTTTGGCTGCGAACATCTTCCAAAAAACTTGGCATCTCTTAACCATGGGCAAAAACATCTGGAACCACTTATCAAAACCACCCCGTATCTGCATGAAGTTCCACCCCCCCCACTGCTATTCCAAACAACGCGTTTTTCTGGACCATTCCAATTCGCCTCGTAATTGTAGGGGTGCGTCTGCAATATTACATTGACCGCGAAAGCAGCAACGGCAAAAATACACATTCGTGCATCAACACGGGCATGCCCGCAGACGGCGTATAAAATTGCGTGCCGATTACACAAAGATAACCCAGTGTTTTGACTGCGAACACGAAAAATCAGCCAATCACAACACTCCGTCCGGAGGTCCTGACCTCCTTCACGGAGTAATAACATTGTCAAGATTTACAGTACATGTACGTCCATTTGAAAACGACCTTGTACCGTTCCTCAGAGAGTAACGTTCTGATCTGCGCCCACGCCGGCTCGCTGGACGGCTGTTCACGACACCTGCAGGGGCTCGCCGCACGGACGCAGCGCGACGCCGTCAAACTTATGGTGAAGATCCCGTACTGCGGCATGGCGGCGTTTCAGGAGGTGAGGGAGGCGGGGATCTGGGACCAGATGGAGCCCCCCATCCCCACCCTCACACACTCACCCAACCACAAGTTTGACTGGAGAGTGCTGCAGTCATGAAGCCCCCCATCCCCACCCTCACACACTCACCCAACCACAAGTTTGACTGGAGGGTCCTGCAGTCATGAAGTCAGGTGCTAGGGGGCACTATTCATACATCAGTCTGTGTGGCTAAGGTAAATAAATAATAAAATCTTCCCTAACCCCACCCATCTCTTTATGTCTAAACATATGCACATAGTATACAGGCTTTTAATTAAAGCATAAGAATGCAAATATTCACAGATGTGCAGTTGCTATTTCATTGGTCAAATTGCCACGTTTTTTATTGGTTGAACTGTGATGGACAGTCAGGATTGGTCCATTTAGCCACCATTTCCAACAGCTGCCCAAAATTTTGAAAAATAATATATGTCTTCCATAAACCATGTCATGTAGATTGGTAAGTCACTGAATAAAGAGACACTTGTTACACAAGCAAGAGGTTATTCAGCCAGTGTTTCTATTGCTGCAATGACACCTGTGCTGTGTGATGTAAGAACTTGTCAAAATTGACCTAAGGAAGATAACAGTCACAGAAATGTTGGCTGAATGAACCTCTTGGTTGTGTAAAAAGAGTGTCTTTAGGCCACACCAATTCAATTTGTTGGTTCTCAGATTTGCCTCTTCATTTTTTTCTGATTTTCAAAAAAAAGGAAAATTCTGAATCAACTCAAAAATGCTCTCATATTTTGCCCCCAACACTGCCAAGTGCCAACAGTGAGGAAAGTCATTTTCTTCCTTCATTGCTTGAATATTAACCCAGCCTTTTGTATTGTACTGCATTTGGAGCTACTGTATAGTAGTAGGATGCCTAACCTTGATTTTATTTTCATTTTTTTACCTGTCACTTTATATTTTTTCAGGAAAAATCAAAGAACCAACAAATTAAATATATTGGTGTGACCTTATTCACTGCCTGCCATAAAACGTATAAAAGTGTTGGCATGTACAAACCACACGATTAGAGCCTATCAAATTTGAATATAGTACTGAGTGATGGACATTCAACCAATGGACATGAGTGAAGGTGAACATTGTTAAACATAACTTATTCAAATCAGGACCTCATTTGCATAATTTATGAGGAAATGCTAGATTGGCTATCTTTGTTCAGATAAGACTCTTGTATTGGGTAGAGAATGAGATTAACTGGAATCCGTGCAAATAAAGATCTTATTTGCATAATAAATTAGAAATCACAAAAGTTAACATCATTTTTTTGGTGAACATACATTGTATGATGTCATGGAACTGTGTTTTATATTATTTTTGTAAGGGTAAGTCAATGAGAGCTTGAAGATGATTTTCATCTATGTTTTGTGATGAGACCTTTACACTTAAGACTGTTTAATAATCAATGGTGTCATGGACAAGGTATAGATTTACTGATTTTAAATTACATCTTTGTACATTCTGGTATCTTTGGTAAGGCCATGTTGATTTGATTATATGGATGACATCCTCTGGGAACCCCAAAACTGATGCGCGCGTGCGAATAAAAAAAAAGTTTTGCAAAAAAAAAGTTGCTTTCACTATGAAATCTACGTGGTCAAGAAGGTGGAACAAATGGCACAGAATATGTTATGGCGAATAATCTCCTCTTCGAATTCATTTCTTTACATTTTTGTCTTTTTTCCTTTGATTTGGACCTTCTACGACATTGGTATCGTTTCTAAATGTTTTCCTTGCAACTAATGGTATATTTTTGCCCATTTAGCAACTGTTTTGCACGATTTACAGTATGGTTGAAAACTTTTTTTTTTTGGAAACGGCCGAAAATTCATGCGCGCGCGGATGTCATCCATATAATCAAATCAACATGGCCTAATCTAGAGATTTTTAGCACGCCTCTGAAACCTTAATGTACCTGACAAGTAACAGAGGCTCATAGAATTATAGTTCAAGCTTTCTAAAAAATAGTAAACTACGAAGACTTACCGATAGTGTAAATAGCAGTTATGGAGTTAATATGGAGTAAATATTTACCCCAGTGGGTGCCATAATATCTGCATAATATTCTGATTCCATATTAGATATTGATCAGCAAATTTTGTGTCTATGCCATCATTCCCATCGTCTGATTATAGTTTTACAAAGATATTTTTGAATATTTTGACCAAAATGGATTTTAGAGAGTCCAGTATAATTCATTCCAGGACCATAATTAGTTTGGACCAATAATTGTTTTACAAATTGCTCTGTGGAAAAATAAATGGGAAAAAAAGGCTTATAATAACCTCTTACTACTTTAATTTGTATATACTTTTTATGATAAACTTTCAGGCAAAGCCTAACCCTCAAATTAATTGTAATGGGCTTTTTATATTTCTTATTCAGACTTGTTACTACTTGGTATATCATAATTTCATTTCAGAGACATGACAAGAAAGAGATTCGGAAGTTTGTTACATTCATTTGGTACCTGACTAATCTTTTTGTGTGACAATTTATTCCATACATTTGGTCTGTACATTTAAATTCACCCAAAGTAATTTCAGGGCAGCAAAACTGGATTTTCAAAGTCAGTTTTCTAGTCATCTTTTAACTGTAGTAAGTTAAATCAACCTGCCTATACCATAACATTTTTACTGATATATTTCAAGCAAAATGCAATGTTGCTGATGGAAAATAGTGCTTGTTTTCTATCGTAGGCTTGTTCTAGCTATTTGTCGGTATAAAAAAATTAGGGAATTTACTAGCTTGTTTCCAATGGCTATTTTATATGCTTCAAGTATGAAATGATGACAAAATTCTGGAATGTCAATATCATATTTTCTCATCCAGAATATTGTTTTGCTGCCTAGAGATAGTTTGGATGCCTTTAATGCTACAGATTCATCTTCTAGAAATATGCACTGTATGGCCACACCAATTTAATTTCTTGGTTAACGGATTCGCCCGCTTCATTTTTTTCTGATTTGTAAATAAAAATAAAAATTCAGAATCAACTGCAAAATGCTCATATTTTGCTCTGAACAGTTGAAAACAGTCCTTTTCATCCTAGTTATTACAGTTATTCCATCTTTCAATACAGTGATATCATTAAAAGTTCAAAATTCATTGTTAAGATTTTGAATCAGCCTGGTGTGTTGACTTCATGGCTGCTATTGTGCCATTTTGGGCCATAATAGGATGCCTAGGCCTGTTTTTATTTTTTTCGCCCGCCTGCCCCATTATTTTTCTAGAAAAATCCGTTAACCAAGAAATTAAATTGGTGTGGCCTAAGGGCAGTAAAAATGTGAATTTTATCACAACTGTGCAATATACTTACAGTGTGTGTACTTGACATATCTAGACATGATGTGAGTTGTGTGGTCAAGTACATTCATGTACTACAGGCACTCTTTGACATTCGACTAAATTAACACATATATCTTGTATGTGCTTCAAGCAACCATAGAAATCAGAATCATTCAAAGTTACTTAAAGTTTGTATATTATATTAAGCAACACCAATTTTGTCTTATACATTAGTAATGTATAAGACAAAATTGGTGTTGCTTAATATAATATACAAACTTTAAGTAACTTTGAATGATTCTGATTTCTATGGTTGTGTTTTTAAATTCCAATGTGGTATTCAGGATTCTTGGTTAAGTCATTTATGGTGTGCAATGATGTGTTCTAGAATATGATGATATAATCCTGAAAGCATCATCGCTGAGACATATGAAATGCAAAATCAGCCAAAAAAATATTCTTAAGTTACAATAATTATTGTTGTATCATCAATCTGTTCCCATTTTCTTCTGCTATTTCTTGAAAAGCTGAGACATTCTATTAAATAACTGTACAGTGAAAGGAGTTATTGACTAGGTTATTTGTGTGTGTGTGTGTGTGTGTGTGTGTGTGTGTGTGTGTGTGTGTAGACTATGGTCTTTAAGCTACACATGTATGGTCTTAGGTGTTAAAATGTTTATACAGATTTTTGATAGCCATGTCTCAGTTGGACTCATGCCACATTCAATAGAAAAACAACCTGCATTCATGATTGTACTAAAGGGCACTTCCATAGGGCTTGCATGTTCAGCACTAAAGACAGGTCTGATTGGTTGGGTGTGACCAGTGTTCAGCACTAAGGACAGGTCTGATTGGTTGGGTGTGTGACCGATTTTCAGAACTAAGGACAGGTCTGATTGGTCAGGTGTAACCAGCATTCAGCACCAAGGACAGGTCTGATTGGTTGTATGTGACTGATTTTCAGCACTAAGGACAGGTCAGATTGGTTGGGTGTGACTGGTGTTCAGCACTAAGGACAGGCCTGATTGGTCATGTGTGGATGGTTTTCAGCACTAAGGACAGGTCTGATTGGTTGGGTGTGTGACCGATTTTTAGCACTAAGGACAGGTCTGATTGGCTGTGTGTGACCAGTGTTCAGCACTAAGGACAGGCCTGATTGGTTGGGCGTGTGACCGATTTTCAGCACTAAGGACAGGCCTGATTGGTTGTATGTGACTGATTTTCAGCACTAAGGACAGGTCTGATTGGTTGTATGTGACTGATTTTCAGCACTAAGGACAGGTCTGATTGGTTGGGTGTGACTGGTGTTCAGCACTAAGGACAGGCCTGATTGGTTATGTGTGGATGATTTTCAGCACTAAGGACAGGTGTGATTGGTTGGGTGTGACTGGTGTTCAGCACTAAGGACAGGTCTGATTGGTTGAGTGTGTGACCGATTTTCAGAACTAAGGACAGGTCTGATTGGTCAGGTGTAACCAGCATTCAGCACCAAGGACAGGTCTGATTGGTTGTATGTGACTGACTTTCAGCACTAAGGACAGGTCTGATTGGTTGGGTGTGACTGGTGTTCAGCACTAAGGACAGGCCTGATTGGTCATGTGTGACCAGTGTTCAGCACTAAGGACAGGTCTGATTGGTTGGGTGTGACTGGTGTTCAGCACTGAGGACAGGCCTGATTGGTTATGTGTGGATGATTTTCAGCACTAAGGACAGGTGTGATTGGTTGGTTGTGTGTGTGACTGATTTTCAGCACTAAGGACAGGTCTGATTGGTTGGGTGTGACTGACTGGTGTTCAGCACTAAGGACAGGCTTGATTGGTCCTGTGTATATGGTTTTCAGCACCAAGGACAGACCTTTTTATGTCTTTCATCATATTCTAATTATGAAGTCACACTAATTTAATTTTGGTTGCTATAACACCGTGATTATGGAAATGGGGGCCTTGGCAACAGAATAACAGCAAAATTAGACTAATCATCTCTGCACTAAAAGTAGAATGGGCATACAGGATATTGAAAGTTCTATAAACAGGAGCTTTGAAATGGCCAGTCTAACAATAGACATAATACCAAATCAGAATCCTTCCACAGAAACCTTCCACAGTGCAG